ACGTACTCTTAGGCAGTACGTAAATTATAAACGTACTCTTAATAGTACGAGGAACTTAGGTTTCCTAAATGGGTTTTAATGGTTATATTAATTAACACCTTTTCCATTTTACATATCAAATATTTGGACGAGGCCATTAAAAGGCCTCAGTAAAATACCAAATATAAGAGTTGGTCTAGTTTTATTAATAGAACTATATTTACTTTCCAACTCTATTTATATCTGAATACTTCGGTAGCGAGATGGCTCAACCGAATACAGGTTTCTAGGGACTATTAACGTTACCTAGTTTAACCTCCGATCAGCCAACCAGATGTGCCAGTCTGATGAAGGCTAAGTCGGTAATTCTTGATAAGTGGCAAGTTATTGGTTAAGACAATAACTAAGGACATCAAGAGTATTTTTATTTTTATTTTTTATTTTAAAGATAGGATTTTATGAGTCTCTCGGATTCGTCCCAACGAAACATACCATAGTTTCTAATAGAGCGACGACGAAACACTAAATAGAATCCCTTCGGCGGAAACAGTACTGATAGGATTATATATAGGCAATGTCTCAGCCTCACAATCCCTCAGAGTATTGCTGTTTTCATGAGGCATACCTAACTTTACTAAAAGTCTCATTTCGTTTATTTACTTTGATATTTTCACGATACTTGGAATTTACTTACGCGTTTATTTGCTTTAAGGCGTAAATATCGCCTGAATGATTTGTCTGGAATTTGACAATAAAATTGCCCTTGTAGATATTGGCGACACCCTCGGTGCTCTTGCGTATATATGTATCATGGCACCTGAATCTATGAGGGCTTTTCTGAATAGACTTTTGTGTGTGAATCCTGCTGCATTATATGCTGATTGAATTTGATAAGGAGCTGTTGGTAGCTGGTGGTTGAATATTTGTTGTGTTATGCTATATACTGAGAGAGTATTTGTATGCGCAATATCTAGTATGTTTTGTACAGTGTGGGAAGTGCTGTCAACGGGGACCCCGTAACTTCATTTATACTTGAAACATACCTGGGTGGTGTACCCAATTCGCTGCTATCACACCTACGGCAAGTGAAAATAGTATATGTGTATAGGCTATTGCCTGGTTTACTACGTAGAAGGCATACATCCACTCTAGGGTTGTCGTAGGCGGTAGTGGTTAGAGAGCGTAGACCTGACACGGTTTGTTCTTTCTGTGTCAGTTGGTTATCCCCGGCAAACTTGAGTGTCTTTGCGTACACCGCTTGGATTGAAAGAACACAGAGGTCAGTGAGACGCGATTGGTATGGTTCCAGGGGCATATATGTATACATTTTAGGCATAAAAACACTCTATATATATAGAAAGGGACTCGGACACATACACTGGTGTTTGCTTTCAGTCATAGTTATTTATTTAGCAAAAAAAGAGGGCCTTCGTATTATAGGTCGATTATATCAGAAAATTATTTTTATCAATACATTGCCTATTGATTTGACACTTTCGTATACCAAGTACTAATGAAACGTAGACCTTATTATCTCTCGAATCTAGCATCGTATAGCATTCATATTGTGGAACATTCACGAGATTCATAGACATTTGCGAAAAAACATACTGTACAACATATATAACGACACGTTTAGCAGAATCAACTATATGAATTTTTCATTAAATATATATACATAGTAATAGGCGATAACGATACCAGGTACCATTTATTATATGATATGATTGCAATAAACTAACAATATGAATACAATTACAATACAATTAAATAATCCAATTGGATTAATATGACTATTGTCTACAAAGTCTTTAATTGTACATTGAAAATGTGGAAGGTTCAAATATACATTTACTCATTGTTCCGATGGAGACGTATTAAAATATTGATCAAATATGTACAGATGTACATTTAGCGACAACTACACTTTTTTTAAATATACATTTACTGACTTTTTCGTGCAAAATCTACTTCAAATTTGGATTAAACAGCCTTCAGCTATATGCATAATTTACGAATAAATGTGTTGGTGGGGGGGGGTAAGGGGGGGGAGGGTTGGTATTGATAAGTGTTACTTCATTCAAACGTATCTCGCTGTCTGACGCGTAACTCGCGTGGTCTGCTCTATGATGTTGAAGACAGCACATACTTCATAAGTGAACTTCTTGTTTTGGATCATCGAATTCACTTTAGAATACACTGCCCCTGAATAAAAGTAAGTATACTTTTTTTGCGTCGTAAAAGTTATTACTTTCTTTTGGGACAAATCAGACTAATCAGTTAATAAATCTGCACTTGATTAGATACCGTCTATAGTTGACAAAATTGGACCATATAAACTACCGAACCGTATTTGTTTTTGTATACTTATTTGAATGCGACGCACGCACTTGTGTATTCATTTGTGTATATAGGACATATGTACATATATGGCTACAATTTTCATATTTATGATTGCAAATACATGCAGGGAAATATGGAATGTGAACGTTTACTCCGAGTCTTTTCCAGAAGAAGTCGAACGAATCAAATTACTCAAGTTGGCATTTGTATGGCCTTTCGGGCCATACTGATATTTGTATGACCTCTCGGACCATATTACGCCTATATGGGGATCAGCACATGAGGTGCCCTAGTGCCTCTCTTTAGTCATCTACCTAAATAGAGAGAGAGAGAGACCATTTCTTCCTTTTTTGTTAGATAGGTCGTTATGTGTTTTCCGATATAAATTACTGATACTCGCGAGTCTCGGTCACACCGTTAATGTTTAAGAATGTTTTAAGGTATGTTATAGACACTGGAAGAGCGTGGGTAGAGTGTGGGTGAATACACTGGAAGAGTGTGGGTAACTTAATCAGTAGAACAAGGATTCGACAACTCTAGACAAGAGGACATTTGCTTCTTAATCGAGACCATGTACTTAAGGGAAGGGTAAAATATCACTAGAAGGAAATAATAGAAGGCACCCTCAGAGGCAGCTGACTCAGGAGAGTATTTGTGATATGGACCCGTGTCTCTCTTCTTAGGGGGTGTTTAGGGTTATACCCTTTGGGTAGCATATAGGGGAGTATATCAATATACGTATCAATGCAGGCAGACACAAGATCATAAAAGGGGTATACCTAACCATCTATGCATGGATGTCAAAAGGGGCAGGGGTGAACTCTCATCCTGTAGACGAAAAGGTGGAAGATGTACAGAGACTAAAAGTGAGGTGGCAATAATATTAGTATTTATAACCATATTTTCCCAAACTATGTAGCGGCTGTAGAAACACGAGATGAATAATTCTTGGGGAGTATCGGTGTGAAAAAGAAGACGCTCAAAAACTTTTAAAGGTAAGAGGATCGTTGGAGATTCTTAAGTGTGTGTCAGACATCAACTGGAATGTCGGGGCCACGCAACCACTATATATATATATAATTTTGATAAAAATAAACACTATAGTTGTACAAACTACCAGCTTAGAAATTGAATGTCAGAAGTGTGTAGAAACTAAACTTAAAATAATGGTGGAAACACAAGGAATACGTGTTCTTGATTTGCTTTTTGAATTGCGCATATGCTATGAAGATATTAACAACAGATTTTGGACCACTGATTGTAAAATAGATTTGTTCCTGCAGACATAATAACAATATTTGGTGTTAATGTGGCATTTGACGTGGCACGTGGTAGAGTGAATTGGGCACTTACAATGCTTTCGCTTGAGAACAGTAGCAGATTTGACAGCGTTGGCGTGATAATCCCTGGGGGATATGGTGGAGGCAGGAGCTCTCTTCTAGGCACTTCCTTTGGGAGTGCCTGGGACGGGGCGTGTTATATATTGGCGGGTAATGATATCTGCTACCCACGAAACAGTGCTTAACGCTATTGATACAATATTGGAAAATAATTATTACGAAAGTGCAGTGTTTATGTTTATGAATCAGAAAAGTGGTTGAGACTGTAAACCAGTGCAAGTATTTTATTCGTTCACGTTCCGTATTGTGCATGCAGAGTGTGAACCTTTTACAAAGTAGAACAAAGTAGCTAAATGTACATTGAAAATGTGGAAATCACTAAATGTACATTCACCCATTTTCTCGATAAAATTACACTGAAACACTGATCAAATATGTACAAATGTACATTTAGCGACAATTACAGTTTTTCTCATACACTTTTACTGACTTAGATTAAAGAGCCTTCGGCTACATCCATTTTTTATGAATAAATGTGTTGAGGGAGGGTATGTTGTTTTTTATTGATTGGTACTGATATACACTGCTTCATTCAAGCTGATATCACTGTCTGATTCGCAACTCACGTGGTCTGTGATGCTCTTTTGCAGGAGCATACAAGATTAGTGTTTCGGAAATCCATTTTCTAATTCTGTTGTCATGTTGGACACTTATGACATAATCGTGCGAAGACAATGCCTCCGAATCATGCACAAGTTGTGGATTTTCTGATACTACTCTAGCATAGACACAAAGCAAACCCCCACAGCCAAAACTGTCATGTTGGTTTATACCGCCTACTTTAAGGCTGCATGTATCATTATCTGCGAGGTAACATTACATCCATCGTACTATATAATTGAATTGTTCGTCAGCTCTAGCAGGATTTGACATACCATCCAAAATAGTAACTGTAGCGTTTGGTTTGTACAATGTAACAATAGCCAAGTTTCAATGTGCGTTGCTATGATTCCACGGGATTATTATAGTGATCCTTTCGGACACCTGTGGTGGTCCCTAAAGTCGTAAGCTTTCTGTCCTATGATACTTGTATAAGTCTTTCATCCATACTCTAAGTGCATCAGTATCACAGAAACGAACAGCCTGAGAGGATAATTGCGACAAATGGTAAAATACCCCGGACATAAGCGATCCTTTGATCCACTCCCTTGGTTCGCGATCCAGTCGTCGACATAAAATGACTTTGACTCTGCCACAGTAAATATCGCTACATTGGTATCTACGTTGATTATCTCCTTTCGCTTCTTTTCTACATGTTCACTGTTCCCGCTGCTTATTTTAGAAGGCGGCGCTCTCTTTCTCAACAATGTAGAGATACAACCTGCTTTTGCACGTCATTAACACTCTAGACTTGCCAAGCGTCTTGCTTCGTTTGGCTGCTAGGCGTGCGTTGCGGTTTGTAGCCAGTTTCCCCCTCATTGGTGCACCCGATGAATGGATTTCGGCCTGATATATTCGATGTTCTAATTCCCCTGGCAGTTCACTGCTAATTGTAGGTTGGTAAATTGGGGATCAGTAAAACCTTCTCCGAGCTTCATCTTACAGAGAAACGACATTCCTTCTCAAATATGCAAAACACACCTTGACGTGTAGCCATTGTCGTTGTTGCTACTAGCTGTTATTCTCATTTGACTGGATGTGTATTCCTTGCCTGCACCGATAGAAGAGGAGCCTGTCTCTGTACCAAGTATTGTACATATTGTGACAGCAAGCACAAGTTTTGAATGTGAATATAATCATTCCACTATTCAATTTTAGTCTTTACACTAGCTCAATTATCAGAGATATACAGTCTGAAAACATACTTTCACTGGTTTCCGTGTCACATTCCACTGGCGAGGTTTCCGTCTGTATACGTGTCGAATTGTTATCAGCGTCTGGGACGGACATACTGATATATGTGACAGGGCGGTGACAGGGCAAATTAAACTATCGCAGTCAGACTTTGTATCGATATATTCTGTGATAGACACATATCGAAAGTGTTCTATACCAATTAGATGCGCCACTGAAATACCATACACACCGGCAAAACCAGTCGAGGCCATAAAGAGGAAAACTTCCTTCTCCTTTTCATATTGCTTGGTAATTACATGTAGAGAAGCTCCCTTTTAATGTACTCCCGAATCAATCGCTTGTTCCCATTGCGGCATCAGTTTCTCTATACACGTAGAAATGCGTCATATATCTATCATGTGAACGGATTTTCGTTAAAGTCACGATCATTTACAAAGAATCCCAATTCCTTCCCTTATTATCATCGATTAAATATTTTACAGAAACCGAATAGACATACGTGTCAGATGACGTTGATGAAGGTATATATATATATATATGTATATATTTATATATATTCATATATATATATATATATATGATGTATAGTATATATATATATATATATACATATATATATTTATATATATATAATAAATA